GAGCGGTGCTACAATCTGTCATTGCTTTGTCTACTACCGAAGTAGAGTATATGGCCTTAATGGAGGCTTCTAAGGAAGTGTTATGGTTGACAAAATTGGCTAAAGAGTTCGGGATAGCTCAAGACTTGGTGGTGATACAAAGTAATAGTCAAAGTGCCATATATTTAGTCAAGAATCAAGTGTTTCACAGAAGGGTCTAAGCATATTGATGTACGGTACCACCGGATAAAAGATTGGGGGAATGATAAGGACATTGCAATAGAGAAGGTTCATATGGATGAGAATGCTTTGGATTGCTTGACCATTCCAATCACAGCTGAGAAGTTCAGACACTGTTTAAGCGTGCTCAATCTTGTTACATGCTGAAGATTGAGGTGGAGCTCTTGAGAATTACTAGAACGGTTTCTAAGAGGTTTGAAGAGGTTCTAGGGTTCAATGATTTTCATAAGGTGTTTAATGCTTGCCAAGGTGGAGATTGTTGATGTTAGCTCACTTAAATATGCGGAAGGATTGAAGGAAACGGGCAGTCAAACGAGTCAAAGACGTATTGATTGGGCTCTGGCGATCGAGCAGGACAGAGAAGGTTTTCATCCAAGCACAGGTGCTTGAGCGCTTGCTCGAGCTGCGCAAGTGGTGCTCAGTGCTCGAGCGGGCCACACAAATCCAGTGTGTATTCCTGGCAAATCTGGACAAATTTTCTCTTAGTTTTGAGGTCCTTTAAATTTCCTATTCCTTGTATAATTGCACTAAAGCCCTATGACATATAAATAAGCACTTTAGCGTTAGGCTATTGTAACGTGAGAAAGCTAAGGAATCAAATTGGGTTTGAGCCAAAGGTGAAAGAAAAGAGAGCCAAATGGGTTCTTTCGTATTAGTGAATTTCTTGGGAATCACTAGAAGGACGTAGGCACAACGTTGAACATCTATAAATTATTGTATTCTTTGTGTGTGTGTGTTTACTGTTTGGTCTTGTGTGTATTTTATCTTTGCGTGACTTATGTATGTCCAAAAGGCCTAATTTGGCACGCCCAGTCCAAAACCAAAAAAGCCCATGTCAATTTTGGACAACTACCAGCATTCTCTTTTTGATTGGGCCAAACACTTAGCACAACAGCCCATTTTTGAACAACATGGAACAAAGAAGAGTTGGTTTTTCTTTCAGAAAAAGCAAGGAAAAGACCTCCATAAAAACTGATTATTGATGGTTCTTCTCTGCCAGAACAGATAACTTCCCCTTTTCTTTGACATTTAAAAATGAAAGATCTTGCTTTTAGAAAATCTGCCACCCATTATTTAAAGATTAGAAAACCCACTCTGGCATTTCCTATAAATATGAGAGGAGGTGAACAGATCAAAGGACAACCAAAAAACCAATCAAAAACAAAAACTCAAAATTATCATTTGATCTCAAAAACCTTCAAAACATCGAAGTAACCAAAAGCTCATTGAGCCACAAGAAACAAGTGAGTGACAATCCAGAAGCTCTAAAAAATAAGTTCAGTTTTAGAGAAATAGTTATTCAAAGCGAGATTTCTCTCATTACAAATTTGGTTTAGCATAAGCCAAATCGAGCAGAGTTAGAGTTTTACAAATATGAAAACCTCAACAAATTTGTGGAGAGCCCTGATCAAGCAAAACAGATACTACAGTGCAGTTCCAGCTTAGTAATCATCAAATCCAACCACTTCTGCCCCTTCCAGACTGAAGAGGTCCCAATTCTGCCCGTTCAAAAAGCCTTCCTGGGCTTGAAATAAATTAAAGCTCTGCCAAACTCGAACGTTGGTATCGATTTACAGCTGAAACTTGATAGTTGAAGGTGTTGATAGTCCAGTCCAGCACAGACATACCCAGTCCAGCCCGGATCAGAAGCATTCATCCAGGCAGAAACTGAAGTCCAAGAGCTCTTTTTGTCCTTTTTTAGAGTTGGTCTTCCTTTTTGAGCTTTGTAAAGGTAGTTCAGTCTAAAACAGTTCACTCTCTTATCATTTATTCTGGCCAGAACTACCAATTTTGTACTGTGAAAAATTGTGAAGTCCTCACCAGTCTAAGGAAAGAAAAGAACTTACTTGGGAGATATTCCTCACCCAAATTCACAATCGCTTGTTTAGAATTCAGTAACTTGGGGCGCAAGTTATCTATATTTAGGAAGTCTGCTAGGATTTTCATTACTAGCAGTGGCATGCTAGCACACAAAAGAAAGTTGACTTGTTGACCAGTCAATGGTTTTCGTGACAATGGGGAACTTTACCCTACCATCACAAGAACAAATATAAAACGGGTGAACAGTATGATAATTGCATAGTCCATCAACGATAAAGTTTTAGAGTGTTTCGCATAATAATGAGAATCAATCTTGTGGCACAGCACCTATACGGAAGCAGAGAGAAAAGCCTCTCCAACCAAAGCCATGTTTCGATTCTTTACAAAGGATTTGGAGATATAATACTACGTCTATTTTTAGTTTAATAGATATAATACTACGTGTCTTGATACATGGCAAGTGTCACATGGTATTACAGTACCATTGTATAATTTTTTCAGACATTAATCTCCTCCTATATCTGCTCTCCCCTATGGAGGATTGTCCCAAGAATGCAGCTAAAACTTTCTTTTTGAAGCAAAAGGAAGTTCATTTGTTCTGAAAATGAATTCAATCCTAGACAGTTAGTCCTTAAAACTTAAGACATGAAAGAAGGGCTTGCTTTTTCAGCAGCTACCTTGAAATGTTGAATTGGGTAACGCATAGGTAGTCCCTAATGGGGAATGATATAAGTAGGAAGCACCAACATATTTTCAAGAAACAAAGGCTATAATTCAAGGCAAGACTATTTTCTAACCATATATTGGGCATATTGCATGAACCATAATTCCTTCGTTCATTGTACGACAGATTTTCAATTTCAGCGCAAACAGTTTCAAAGAAAATTTTGAAAAGCCTGCTCCTTCAATGGAAAGGACAAATGCAAAGCCAGCTCCCTCAAGAACTCAGCTTTGGGATTAAGAAAGGACAAATGCTGCTTGTTAACGCTCAACAATTTTCATAGAAATATTACGATCAATTGTGTGTGTGTCACTCTAATTTTAATGTCCTGACTCCTAAGTCTCTTTTAATTCGCTTAAGTGGAATCATAATAATGTGATAACAAGGAAGAAAACATTCATAACAATATATTAAAACTGAACAAGGAAATAACGGTAAAATGAGTGTTATCCTTAGTTTCTTCACAACTGACTCATCTACTTCTTTCCCTTGAACAAGTACGGTGAACTAGCCGGAACCAATCTTGTCGCATAGAAACTGCACGAAAGCAGAGAGAAAAGCCTCCCCAACCAAAGCCATGTTTCGAGTCTTTGCAAAGGATTCAGACAAGTCAACTTTCTTTCGTGTGCGAGAGTGCCACTGTTAGCAGTCAAGACCCTAATAGACTTATGAAAAATAGATAACTTGCACCTCAAGTTAATCACTTTAAACAAGTGATTGTGAATTTGGGTGAGAATATCTCCCAAGTAAGTTCTTTCCTTGCCCCAGACTGGTGAGAACTTCACAAATTTTTCATAGTAAAACTAGTAGTTCTGGCCAAAATGAGTATTGAAACATAAATCAAACTGTTCCAAAAAAGAACTGCCTATTGCAAAATTTACAACAAAAGAAGACTGCCTATTGCATAAATCAAACTGTTTCAAAAAAGAACTGCCTATTGCATAATTTACAACAAAAGAAGACTGCCATGTCTGAAATGACAACAGAACATTGGGCCTCGATTTCTGCTTGGTTCGTCGCCTGTGATTCAGGCTAGACTAGATGCTTCTGTGCTGGATTCGGATGTCAGCACCTTCAACTGATGAGGTTCAGCTGGAAATCAATACCAATGTTGAGATTGGCAGAGCTTCAATCTATTTTAGTCATGGAGAGGCTTGTTGGATGGGCAGAACTGGGATTTCTTCAGTCTGGATTGGATTCGAAGTGGTTGGATTGACGATTTTTGTCCCAAAATTGTACTTTAGCACCTGTTCTGCTAATTGTGAATCACATACGACTTGTTCTGATGATTCTCAGACATCAAGGCCTTTATGAAAATTTGTTGAGGTTTTCATATTGTGAGAGACTTGAATTCGACTTGGTTGGTCCATGCTGAACCAAATTTGTAACGAGAGCAATCTCGTTCACTTTGTG